CCTACATATTCCACTGTAATATTGCCACAGCAAGGACTATTACTTCTAAGTCTTATTTTCTTTATTCTTTTCTTTCCTTAAATTTAAATTATACCTCAAATTTGACCCAAACTTTGAAGAATGAAAAACAATTTGCCTGTGGTCACTGACGGTGTTACCGTGCCTGTATTTCCATTATGAAAGAAAGGACTTTGTAAGACAACAAAGAAAAAACCTGTAATGGAGTTGCAGCCAATCTGGACACTTCTTGTAAACCTAGGGCATGCTGCATGCTCCTTGTAGTCCCTGTGAAGCCATATTATTCATTTTGCATTTTATCAAAGTCTCAGAATTCTGTTATTTTAATTGTTTATTTATTCATTTAATTATTTATTTAGTACAGGGTCTTGCTATGCAGCTCAAACTCATATGATCCTCCTGCTTCAGCCTCCCCAGTGCTGGGATTACAGGTATGCACCACCATGCCTGCTTCTGGTGGCATGAACAGCAAGGCCAAGGGGGACCCAGCATGGCATGAGATACTGGGGACTGAACCCAGATCCTTGTCCTTGCCAGGCAGGTGCTTTGACTGCTAAGTCGATTCCATGGCCCAAAGTCTCAGAATTCTAATTCATGGATGTTCAGTGGGGAGCTGACACGAATGCAGTGTGTAACATATTTGTGTTCCTCTGTTATATGGCTACATTGGAGAGTTGCGTAGTTTTGAATAGTACTTAATTTTAAATGAAATTTATTTAGCTTTAAAATCTAAGTTTATTACAAAGATAAACTTTACTTTTGTCTAAGTACAGTAGATCCAGAGGAAAAATTTTGGTATGTTCAGGCAATTTGAAAATTCATGGATTTGTTTTGTGATCCAGAATAAGATGATATGCTATCAGAATGTGGAGTTTGTAATAAACTGCCCCTAAAAATTTGGTAAGACCTTGAAGTAAGAAAGGAAAGCTAAAAGTTATTAAAATCTTGATTAGATAAGGTATTAGTCTCTTTTGCTTTTTCAAATCTGAAATACTCATACCTGAATTGCTCTAGTTTTATCAAGAATGTAGGAAAGTAAAATCAAACCAAAGCTGACTCCATGCACCCTCATATTTTAGTTAGTCAAAGCTCCTGGCTAGGAGTTGAGAACATAAGAAAAATATACCAAGCCCATACCCCTTAAATTTTGGAGTATAAAATATAGCTACCCTGTAGAAGATGCCACAAGC